GATACCCTCTAATTGAATTAATAAGGACCACCACAACTGTATTTTACACAAATTAAATCCCTCACCGGGTATTTATTTAGACAACAATGAAATGAATAAAATAAAACAGTTACTTTTATAAAATGAATTGAATTAAAATAAACAAAACTACTGTAAAAGTGACTACATGGATTATAAATAAAAGATTATCAAAACAATAACTCTTTCTTATGTACCAACTGTTATTTCAGTTACAACAGCTCACACCTTTAAAAGGGATGAATTTCAACCTTTGATAATAACTTTGATTACAACTACACACTTTTCTCAATTTAAACCAACTTTGTAACACTGGGCCCACACACACACACACACACACACTTTAACCTGTCCACACTACACCTGTAGCACAGTGCCTGTTGCAGGCCTGATTCGAAGTTCGGGTGCAGTGAGGCCTAAAACTGATGGCTGCTTCACTCAAGCTGAGCAATAAACAAAATACGTGCACTTTAGTTTCAGTTAGTGCTCACGAGTCCAATGAGTTTGTTAGTGGGGCAATCAGAAACGGGCAGTTAGTTCACCAGTAGTGAAGACAGTCAGGGTGAGAAAACAGCAGGGTCCATCCGGGCTGAAACCTCTCTCTCCCTCTCCTTTCAGAGCGTCCCTCGGCTTCTAAACATATTAAAACACTTGAGCTACAATACCAAATGCTATCACATAACGATTTAGCATTAGCATGCTTTGACTAAAAAATCACAGAGCTAAACATACAGCATGGCATCACAGCACATAACGCGGTAAGCTGCGCTAATTAGCAAGCCGCTAGTTAGCATCACATATCACGCCATTTTACCACTATAACGAATAGTTACAGTACAAATGTCAAGGCACACAGACTCATTTACCTCTTGCAGATCACAAATAAGTAATATCAGAACCATGGGTAGTTGACCTCAATGAAACACTTAGATGCAAAATCCACACCACGTTTGCCTTACGACATCTCTCTCTTCGGACTTAGCTTCTGTGTCCGCTTCACACAAAGCTTACCACTCGTCCCGCCCCCATAACAGAGCAGAGTGACATTGACTGGCTCGTCAGCACAACAACCAATGACAATACAACATTGAGGTAACTGACATTAGATGGGTAAATAAACTTAGGTTACACCCCAACATATTTATTCTGCACAGAAAATGAACTCTAAATC